TGATTTCTGGGGATTCTGAAGTTGTTTCGGGTAGTACTACTGCACAAGTTGAATCTGATGCATACCGGATTTGGAAAATGCATGACAAAGCGTTGATGCAGCTTATTTCTGCTACTCTTTCGCCTCCTGCAATTTCTTGTGCAATTGGGAGTATCAGTTCTCTGGATTTGTGGACTCGTCTGAAAGAACAATTTTCTACTGTTACTAGATCCAGTATTTTCCAGATGAAATCTGAGTTACAAACTATCAAGAAAGGTAATGATTCCATCACTCTATATCTGGAAAGGATCAAGGAAGCTCGCGATTATTTGTCTGCTGCTGGTGTTCATTTTGACGATGATGATATTGTCATTCTTACATTGACTGGTTTACCTTCTGAGTTCAATACCATTCAGTCAGTCATTAGGGGTCGTGATACTGTTATTTCATTGAAAGATCTGCGTTCCCAACTTCTTGCTGAAGAAGCCATGCTTGAAACTATGCATTCTGCTCCTTTGCTTACTGCTTTGGTTGCTCAACAGCCAGGTCTTCCTTCTAAGAATTCTGGTGGTTTTGTGTCTCAGAATCATAATTCCAATTATCAGTATAATGGTTCTCGAGGGTTCAATAACAAGAATAAAGGCAGAGATCGGTTTCATTCCAATAACAGGTTTGGCACCAACAAGTCTTTCTTTTCTAATTCTGGTCCTGGAATTTTGGGCAATTCTCCACAACAGTTTGGTCCTTCTTCTTTGATGACATGCCAAATCTGTGGCAAGGCTAATCATCTTGCCACTACTTGTCGTTTTAGAAATACTTCTGTTTCTCAAGGCTGCCAAATCTGTGGGAAAAATAATCATTTTGCTGATACTTGTCGATTTCGGAATACTGGGGTGAATTCAGGATGTCAAATATGTGGGAATTCTAGTCACAGTGCTGAGTTTTGTTTCCAGAAGCGTTCTAATGATCCAATGACTGCCTTGTATGCTCATACCAACTCTGGAAATCAGTCTAGTTCTACTCAGTCATATGGTCTATCTCAGCAAGTTTGGCTCACTGACTCAGGAGCAACTAATCACATGACCACTGAGTTGCAGAATCTGTCTCTTGCAACTCCTTATCCATCCACTGAGACTATCCAAGCTGCCAATGGTGAAGGTTTAGCCATATCTCATATTGGCTCTACCACTCTTCACACTCCATTACAGTCTTTGCAATTAAATTCTGTTTTATATGTTCCGAAATTAACACAGAATCTGCTGTCAGTTCATAAAATCTGCTTGGACAATAATTGTTGGATAATCTTTGATGCCTTTTGTTTCTGGATTCAGGACAAAACCACAGGGAGGATACTCTACAAAGGACTGTGCAGTAATGGGGTGTATCCGATTCTGTCTTCCACATTTGGTGCTTCTTCAAAACATGCCTATGCTGCTTATCTTGGACAACAAGTGAATTCCAGACTATGGCACAATAGATTAGGTCATCCTTCTAATCCTATAGTATCTCAGATTTTAAGAAAGTCCAGATTGTCTTGTAGTCCTGATTCTTTGCCTCTGTTGTGTTCTAACTGTTTGGAAGGCAAGTTTACCAAACTTCCTTTTCCTGTGTCTCAGTTTAAGTCTGTAAAACCTTTTGAGATAGTTCATAGTGATGTTTGGGGTCCAGCTCCTTGTTTGTCCATTGAAGGGTTCAAGTATTATGTGACCTTTATTGATGAGTGTACTCGTTATACTTGGATTTTTCCACTAAGTAATAAAAGTGATGTTTACTCAACCTTTGTATCTTTCTATCAATACATTTTAACTCAATTTGCTGCCTCTGTGAAAACATTACAAACAGATGGGGGAGGGGAGTATATAGGGAAATCTTTTCAAGCTTTTCTTTTGGATAAAGGCATTCTTCATCATATGTCCTGTCCTCATACCCCTGAGCAAAACGGCCTAGCTGAGCGCAAACATAGACATATAGTTGAGACTTCCATCACTTTGTTACAAACAGCTTCTTTACCCTCTCTTTTTTGGTCCTATGCAGTTCTTACTTCTGTCTATCTTATCAATAGGATGCCATCTTCTACTTTGGATAATAAATCCCCATTTGAGCTACTGTTTCATGCCATTCCTGAAATTCAACATCTTCGAGTTTTTGGTTGTTCTTGTTTCCCACTCTTGAGACCTTATAATCGTACTAAACTTCAACCTAGAACTACCAAATGTGTCTTCTTGGGGTATGCTTCTAAGTTTAAAGGGTACATATGTTTTGAGGTGACTAAGAAACGGTTCTATATATCAAGACATGTTTTCTTTGATGAATCTGAATTCCCTTATTCCACCTTAGTGTCTTCTGTTAAACCAGTTCATTCCCCTGTTCTTCCTTCTTATGTTTCTACTTCTGGTTTGGTACCAAACAATGATAATGTGCTGGTTGTGCCTTCTGTTTCTTCTTCTCGTATGATGGAGTCTAGGTCATCACAGTCTGTTCCAACTAGTCCTTTAGCCCCTAGGTGTCACTCTCTCACTGCCCCCAGGTTGTCAAATGGTTCTAGTCTGTCTATGCCCTCTGCACCGTCTGGTAGTCATACTCTCCCTGGTGATCTTCCTGAGGCTGCCCTCATTACTAGCACTGCAGATCAGTCCGTATCCTCTCCTGTTCCTGTGGTTTCTGAATTTCAGCCTGATCACCTCCAAGTTGTCCTCTCTGTTCCAACCTTTAATTTGCATCCAATGCAAACTCGATCGAAGAGTGGTATTTCTAAGAAAATTGCCTTCTTATCTGTGGTTCATGAAAATGGAGGGGCTGATCTCACTAAAGTGGAACCTGCTACTTATAAATCTGCTTTGACTTCTCCTGTGTGGTGTGCAGCCATGAAAGAAGAACTATCAGCTCTATATAATCAAGGTACTTGGTCTTTGGTTCCTCTTCCTTCTCACAAGAATTTAGTGGGCTGTAAATGGGTGTTCAAAATTAAGAAGACTGCTGATGGTTCTATAGGGAGGTATAAGGCCCGTTTAGTTGCAAAGGGGTTTAATCAAGAAGAGGGTATCGATTATGGGGAGACTTTCAGTCCTGTGGTAAAACCAACCACTGTGAGACTTGTCCTTGCTTTGGCTGCACACTATGGCTGGTGTTTGAGGCAGTTAGATGTGAAAAATGCCTTTTTACATGGCATTCTGCAGGAAGAGGTCTATATGTCCCAACCTCCTGGATTTCTTGATACTAAACATAAGGATTTTGTTTGTAAGCTCCATAAGTCCTTGTATGGGTTGAAACAAGCCACTAGGGCCTGGAATGACCGATTTACCAAGTTTCTCCCTTCTTTAGGTTTCCAGTCCACTTATTCTGACTCTTCACTGTTTGTCAAGCATGCTGGTGATTCTGTTGTGATTCTTTTATTGTATGTTGATGATATAATCATCACAGGAAGTGTCAGTCAATGTGTTACTGATGTTATTACTGCCTTGGCACATGAGTTTGATATTAAGGACTTGGGACCATTGCATTATTTTCTGGGGATTCAGATTGTGCAGCAACCCAATGGGATTTTTTTGTCTCAAGAAAAGTATATCACTGACCTTCTCACCAAGTCAGAAATGCTGTCTTCCAAGCCTTGTGCTACTCCCTGTTTACCTTATGCTCGTTTATTGAAAGATGATGGGCAACCATATAACAATCCTGCAATGTATAGGAGTCTTGTGGGGGCTCTTCAATATCTAACATTCACAAGACCTGATATTGCTTTTGCAGTGCATCAAGTGAGTCAGTTTATGCAGGCCCCGATGGAATCTCATTTTCTGGCAGTCAAGAGGATTCTTAGATACCTTCGAGCTACACAAGGCTTTGGCATTCGATATGTTAAGGGTGATTTGGATCTGAAAGCTTTTAGTGATGCAGATTGGGCAGGGGATCCTAATGATAGACGTTCCACCACTGGTTTGGTTGCTTTTCTAGGCTCGAATCCGATCTCATGGTCCTCCAAGAAGCAGCAAACTGTCTCTCGGTCATCAACCGAGGCTGAGTATCGGGCATTGTCTTCTACAGCAGCTGAGATTGATTGGATTAAACAGTTGCTAGGCTTTTTGCAGGTTTCTATATCTGACACACCTACTCTGTATTGTGACAATCTTTCTGCTATTGCCTTAACCTTGAATCCTGTCCAGCATCAACGAACCAAACATATAGAGGTTGATATCCATTTTGTGCGCGAACGAGTTGCTAACCACCTTCTGCAAGTGCATTTTGTCTCTTCTGGTGAGCAGTTTGCTGATATTTTCACCAAGGGTTTGTCCGCGCCTCTGTTTCAGCTCCATTGCAACAATCTCCGGCTCAGTCTCTGCCCCTGAGCTTGAGGGGGGATGTTAGGAGTATTATATGAATGGATAAGATGTTGCCAAATGTCAATAGATTAGTCTTGCAGTTATAAGGTTGTTAGAAGATAGCTTAGTTAGGAAGCTGTCTTCATTAGTATAAATATCCTTTGTAATAAAATAGTTATAGTAATGAGAAATAATTAAAACACAATTCAGAAATTTATCTTGCTCTCCAAGTACTCTTTCCCTCTTCATTTCTCTTCCTATCAATCTTCTTCTTCTCTGATAGATTGGTTTACAACCGCATCATATAATATAATAATATAATATAAATATATGATCTCTCTAGTATTATTCAAATTTCAACTAGACCTTGATGGTGAAATAAATATATATACCCTTTATATTAGACCAATTAATGCACAAGTCATAGCTTGCAAGTTATTGCAGAATGGGTGTAAGAGACTGTAGACATAGCTTTCGTCAACTAATTTAAGAATGGGGTTGTTTCTTATGAAACTATTAGCTAATGTAATACTATCAAATTTGAAGTCAACCTTAATCAAAGGATGGGGAAATTATATGACAATCCGTTTCAGAATTTACGGAATAAAAATGATATTTTTGTAATTTCATTAATTTTGGAATGTTTGTTTTGAAATGGGTTGCTTTTAAATCTTAATTGATGTGCCAAGGGGCTCACCTTCTGTTTTCTTTCCCCCGGCTCCCCTTCTCTTTTTTCTGCCATGTGGTAGCTCCCACACCACCCATCACCTCACTTTCTCTCACCGAGTCACTCTCTCAGCTCTCTCATTCTCGGATCCCTCTCACTCTCACATATCTCTCTACACCCATCTCTCCCCTCCCCGGCGATCCGCACCCACACACCCATACACCATCCCCTCCGACAAACCACGACATCAACACCATCACCTGAACCTTCCCTCTCCCTTTCCCCCGTCCCTGTGAAACACCGGGACACCCACATCACACCCAGGTTTAGTGAGCCGTGGAGTCGAGGTCGAATATCTGGCCGATTCCTTCCATATCACGGCAATCAAAGGTAAGGAACCTCTCCCTCTCACCTCCACCTTCAGTTTCATGGTTAAATCGTACCTTATAGTGTTGGTTTGCCGTTGACCGGAGCACAGAAGGCTCCGACTTCCTTCCCCAGCGAGAAACCAATCCAGGCCTTCGGGCTTAGGACTTTTGGGCTGGGCTGTCAAGCCCAAGGCCCGTTGAAACTAAACCCAAAAACCCAAAAGGATCAGGTGTGAGGACCTGCACTTAAAAAAAAAAATACTTATATAATAATTACGTGTTGATTATTGTGGTTAGTTTCATTGAACTTTGTATTATAAATTGTTTAGATATTTTCCATTGGTAATTTATAAATTACTTTATACAGTGTTTTATACTGTAGATGGATTTTCAGAAGTGACCTTGGTATCCAATTTCATCACATAAATTTAAGCCCAATTATTTACCCTTACCAACAGTTAGTTAACCTTACTAATGTCAGCCGCTTCCAATTCTTCTTCCTTACTTCTTATTTATTCTCTTCTTATCTCCACGACCAGGTGTAAAGGTCCGAGGCCTTCTCATTTTTGTTTCTCCATTTGATTGACAGCTCCTGCTCTCTAGCATCTAATATCCCATATGCTAGTATACTATATTATATTTTAAGTACTTGTTCAGCACTCTAAGAAGCTGCTGCCTTCTCCGACTATAAATAGGGAGCTGCACCTGCATTTCATTTTAGACATTAGTATCTTATGGGGAAGAGAGAGAGAGAAGGGAGTAAGAAACCAGAAGCTGAGGTGCTTCTTAATCGGCGGTGTCAAATCTGTAGCAGGATAAATATGGGTAATGATTCTCATATTTTCTTTAGTCTTTCCGTAGCTCCATTTAATGTAGAACTCAGTCGTGTTTCATCTCTGTTGCATAGACGTTTGGCTATCAGACTTTACAATTGGAGATCATCTTACCTACACAAAAGTGATAGGACTGAACCTATACATAATTATCACGTGCTAAATATGATCTCTTACCTTTATTAGCGGTTGTTATATAAAAGAGGGCTTGAGCATATTAATTCGAACGTATATCTTTCTTATTGGTTTGACAGAAACTATATATGTATATGCTGGTATTCATGCATATAACTTTGCACAAGCCTGAGTTAACCAAGCTAGCTTTCTCGGCATGGAACTATCTGCATATGTTCTTAGGTATAGTTTCAACTGTATCAAGTAAAGCATGTGTTTGGAGTTGATCAACATATAGTAACTTGTGAATTAGTATTGCGGAAATGATAAACTTAAATGCATTAATTAGGATTAGAGTTCATGTCATGCATTTGGTAATTTGCTTATATATGTGGTTTAATATACTTATTCATTAATCATATGAAAGACTTCATTTAATTATTGGCTAAAGTTATGTTCCCAGCTTATACACCATGAAGACAGCATGCATATTTATATTTGTATTTCACATGTCCCTTGTTCTGCAAGTTGTACCCATTCAAACGTTCTGTTATGACCATGTTATTATTTTAGATCAACCAAAAGGGCATTTGAAATGGGTGTTGTTAAGTTAGTAATCTCAAGTGCTTTGACTGGGATTAAATTTCTTGTCTTGCATATAGTGATTTTCTTATACTTGTGAATAGGAGCTTATCACAGTTGTGGTTTCTTGTGTTATTATCTCGGAGCAATGCTTTGGAATCCAGGTAGGGGAATTTGGGGAATTAACTGATTGTCTTTGTTACTTGTATTTCGTGAAATATTGTTATGTGAACTTGAGATATATTCAACTATTGACTTAGATGTGATTTGTTATGTGGTATATTATATATTGGCATGATCATTATCATTTGTCAACGAAGTAAAGGAGTTACTTATGTTGTGGGAAAAATGTGGAAATTAGCTTTTGTGTAGTTGAGTTTGTTCATTGTGAAACCGGTTCCAAGCGAGCCCGAAGTGCACAGTAGAATAGGATATCGACGGGAATTGTCGATGTGGGTGATTTGCGCTGGAGATCAATGAATCAGATAAGATGACTAGCAAAAGCGTTATGAACTTGGGTTAGTTGATGGGGGTTATTCTATATATTAAAGCACTCGGGACCACAGGGATAAAATGCATGGTATGGGACATGCAGGTCTGGTTGCTTCAATATATAGATTAATGGGTTGGGTAGAAAAGAAGTTTTGTTCTTGCATTACATTACTCATAAAACATTCATAACATTAATAATATTAATCACTTGAGGCCTTGGGCCCTATTGAGCTTTTAGCTCACCCCTTATTAGTTGTGTAATTAGTTGTGTTACAGGAGATGTGACAGGAATCTAGTGGCTGATTTGGAAGAAAGAGACTGCTTATAAATAGTTTTAAACTTTTTAAGGGGTGGTTGTCACTTTCTTTTATGTGTAATGACTATGTAAATTATTTTGTTTAATGAAAAGTTTTAGTTAAACCCAGTCACCTGTTATTATCTTTAGGTTGCTCTTTTTATGCATGCTCGGAAATTTTTTTTTTAATTTAGGGCGTGACGTCAGGCCTTAGGGCCATGTGGAACTTGGGCCCTTGGCTTGTGGAACTCGAGCCCAACCCAACCCATTTATTTAATTAATTTAATTTAATTTATTTTCTAAAACCCTTACCTTGGGTCGGGCTTTCAAGCCCAGACCCTTTGACCTATAAACCTGGGACCCTAGCCCCTTGGGCCTCCGACCCGATAGCCTCAAGCCCAATACCCTTTAAACACTAAAATCCATTGGACCCAAACCTTTTAGGCCCAACTTGGTTGACCCAAATCCTTTGACCTGGTTGGCTTGACCCGACCCGGACCCGTTAACCCGGTTTGACAGTTGACCCGTCAACGTTGACAATTGACTTTGACTTTGAATTTGATTGTCAACGGTCAACGTTAATTTTTGTTGACTTTTTTCGGGTTTTGTCTGGGACCCCTCCTAGGCTAATTTCGACATCCTAGACTTGTTTATGACGTCCGTTTTCTGCAATTCAATCGTTTGAGTATAGTTTTGTTAATTGTACCCTTTATGTGCTTAGGTGCAATTATTAACGGCGATTTTGTCATTCTTATTTCGTACGGCTCTACGACGATGGAGTATCTGTGAGTGGATCCCTTTTAAAATGCATGTTTTAATAGTAGAAATGCATACCCGGCTGACTTGACCTGACTCAGACCCATTGACCTGTCAATGTTGACAATTGACTTTGACTTTGACCGCTTAACGATCAACGTTGATTTTTGTTAATTTTTTTCGGGTTTCATCTGGGACCCCCCCTAGGCTAATTTCGACGTCCTGGACTCGTTTATGATGTCCGTTTTTCCAAATTCAATCGTTTGAGTATAGTTTTGTTAATTGTACCCTTTATGTGCTTAGGTGCAATTATTAGCGGCAATTCTGTCATTCCTATTTTGTACGGCTCTACGATGACGGAGTATCCGTGAGTAACCATCTCTCACTCCGTCTCAATACTATTGAGAAAATGATGTTCTGCTCTATAATCTGCATTCCCACCAGCAGTATGTACTATTTCCCAATTTCAATAATTTCTTCTGCTACAAAAGCAGTCAATATATGCGAAGCACGAGTACATGGCAGACAACTATTGCAAGATTGTGTATTTTTTTAACAAGTCCGGAGAGTGATGTAATATGAACCCGAATCATATGAGGAGTTTGCTCATATAGCTAAAGCAGACAAGTGAAACCTAGCTTGTTGATTTGGGTGTTCTAAAATCTAATACAACAGTTGAGTTGATCAAAAGGGCAACTCAAGAGTCAATATATGCGAAGCACAAGTAAATGGCGGCACTCCTGCATTTTTGAAAATTTTATTATCAATTGGATCTTGTACGAAGCTGTAACTGTAGTTACTACATATAATGGACCACGACATCAGATCTTTCGACAGAAAGAGAGAACGTGTATAAACACCTAGAGAGAGAACGACCCCAGCAAATAGTAGCCGATTATTTTTTAATCAAATTTTCTAACCAATACAAGGTTTTCTCTAGGTTTTGATGCTAAATAATAACCATGGAATCAAAGACTGATATGGGCAGTGCAGAACTATCGACAAAAATTCGACAAACAGAATTGTAGTTAACACAAAAATGCACCCTCTCAACTCTAACTGATGCAAACTAATATAATAATATCAGATCGCATAACGATATTTACGTTTCCATGTGAAGGATTACTATGTAGTTTACTTGTATAACGAAAACTGATGCTTGAATGAGACCTATCTGTTAGTTATTTGCATTGAATCAATCGTCAACCAAGGCCTAATAATAAAATGAGCAGCCTCTTCTAACTAGTTAGGTAAATAACGCATTGTTAAATAAATGCGCTAACAGCCTCAGACTAAACTAATTAGTACTTAGATTCCGAAGCCAAGCCACGAATTGGAAAGCCAAGTCGAATGCTTCTCTTAGTCTTTTGTACGATCTCTCTGTGTTTAGAAAAACTAGGGCAATAAACAAAGTTGAATCAAAATAGCCCTAGAAAGAATCGCTTTGTCTCACTCTTCGTTGCACTTTGGCAAGAATCCCATACCTAACTTTTCCCGTGTTCAACAAGAGTACGTACGAGCAATAGCACAAATATTTTTCTTGATTTCCCCCACAAAGATTTAGCACACATTGATTCCCTCTTGTATATAAATGTTTCAGAAAGCATGCAGAATTTTCAACACACTCAAACATATATAACACAAGTCCTACACAAACACTTAATTAAGCTACTCAGCATACACCACTCACAGCCTTTCACATTAACTAGTACAAGAGAATGTCTAGCACAGGAGTTACCGCGATAATGTTTCAGTGTGTGTTTGAAGGAAGCCTGTCAATGCAAGACACCGAAATTGAACGAAGGCCATACCATAAGAACTGCAGTTGCGCTCTCCACTCCAAGTCTGGTGTTTGCTCCAACGCTTGTCAGCGAAACCTTTCCTTTCCAAAGAAACAGTTAGGGACCAATCGTTCCTTATGCATGCAGGCTATTGCAACAACTTGCAAATTGTCTTCTGCTCTCGTCACATCTACATCCACCGGAAACAGCGAAAGTGTGACTGGGGTTCATAATACGGCCTTGTCACGGAGGCAATAGATTGAAGTTTTCAGAGGCTAGATTGATCACACGACGATAATTAGTTAAATGAAAATAAAAAGGTTGGGAATTGAGAAGCAATTTTAATTGTTAGTTTCTCATAAGCTTATGAATATATTCTTGTCCATTATTACTGTAGTACTCCAGCACTAGTACGTACTACTCAAGTTCAGATTGATTTTGAGGAATGGTGCTTGTGGGTTCGTTTAATTTCTTCTACAAATGTAAATTCTGTTGTTTACATATTTTTCCTGCAACTAAACATTGTTAGATTTCTCATCTACAATCTGTAAAACATCCTTTCAGCACCACCACTGAAGTAATTTATTTTTTCACGTTTGGTAGATACCTTGCAAGTCATTAATATTTGATGAGCCAAGGAAAATGTTTTCGTTTTCGTTTCGCCTCATTGCACAAAATTTCCAAGTGAAGATCCTAGTTTATTAGTTTTACACAGGCCAAGAAAAAGCCTCCACTTTCTTAAGTAGGCATGGACAAAATGCAGGCGTGATTTTTTAGTTTTCAGTGGTATAGATAATTCTATATGCAAAAAGAAGCAAGTTAAAGAAGAACAAGAGAAAGAATTTCTTTTTCTTTTTGTCAAATATTTTAGATTAATAAACAAACTCATAGGCTATACATATACCATCAAGAGGAGAAGGGTAGTTTCAGTTGATCACTTCAATTAAAATTTTATTTTTGTTTAATGTTTTATAATTAAAGCCTAATTAGGAAAGAGAGAGAAAAGAGATAGAAACAAGAATTAAGAGAAGATGTCAATGGAAAAAACAAAAAAAGAGCTAAGAGAAAATGAAAAGTGATTAAAAGAATATTAGGCAAATCATTTCGAATATTTTAAATTTAAAAAAAAAATAAAACATTCTTCAGATTTTGTTGCATATTTCTCTCTGAAAATGTCTTCAACAGAGGAAAAATGCGACCACCTCTCACATTGTGTGAGTTATAAACTTTTTAGTAAGTTTCACATTTGAATACGAACTTAATATTCTTAATTTAAAATATACTTTAGGGAAGGAGAAAGGTTTGAAATGAGATTTAGTGCAAGTGAGTAAAAAAAAAAAGACTCTAACCACTAGCTATGGCAACCCACCATTTGCAGTTACATTTTTAATATGAGAAGGACAATTTATCATGCCCCACGATAATAAAAAGTAAAATTGCAAGACATACAATTTTTTATCCCTCCCTTCAGTTATATTGAATTTAGGAAAGAATGGCTAATATTAGGCGAAGGCATATCAGTTGGTTATACCAACTGGTGCAAACAAAGATCATGCAATGACTATTGGTAAATTAGTTTGGTCATTTATAGCATCTCAGTAAGTGTGGGTAATCACGACATTTGGGTTGAGATAATTTTAAAAATAAATAAATAACTCTATAGTCTAAAAACCATAAAAGCAACTGAACAATGGACAACTAAAAACTTGAACAAATACAAGAGTATATGTGACAGTACTCCTACATTTACAAAACTATAGTGAAGGAAGCATTTGCCTCCTTGAAGGAAGTTGGTATTCTACTCTAAAATTAACTAATAATTGAGAGAATAGCTCAACTGCTAATAAGCTCTTGTAATATTTTTTAACCACGCACCTTAAAAGCTAATACATATAGAACTCAAGATCACTTAAAAACATCCGTTAGACAACTAATTATTACTTCACAATATTAATTAATATAATATAAAGCGAATGTACAGTGCAAGAACAATCGATGAAAACTTTATGGACAAACAAAATTGTATTAAAAACCAAAGATTCAGCATCTCAACTCTAAGCGGTGGAAACCTAATATAATACCAATAACCACAAAATTGAATTTGGTGTCCACCTGAGTTTTTAATTTGTAGATCGTTAATTACTTGTATAACGAATTAAAACTGATGCATGCTTGACTACTCAGACCATTGTTGATTACGTAGTTCGTTAATTAACTACCTAGATTTAGCCGTCGATCACTTTTAAAAATCAAATCAAAAGAACAGACATTTTCTAAGTTTTAATTAGTTAGGTTAATAACGTCTTGCGGTTCAACCTATGTTCAAAGCCTGAAACCTCCCACTAACTAATACTTTGGATACTAAACAAAATGCCAAGTCGAGACTACACACTTGTATCTTTTTTCTATCTAAGTGGAAAAACTATGCCCCTCCTCACAAAGCTGAATTTTCCCTCGAAACAAACGCTTGTCTTTCTTTGCTTTCCACTTTGGCTAGAATCCCAGAACTAAAGTTGTCTCGAGTTCAACAAGAGCACGTTGGAAAAATAGCACAAATTTTTTTCTAGATTTCCCCCACACCTAAATTATAATTTTTATCATACACTGATCCCTTCTTGTATATATATAAAGGTTTTAGAAACCATGCAAAAGTTTTAACACTCTCAAACACAAGTACACAACACACAGCCTTAAGCTTAAACACAAATCAGTACGAGAGATTCAATTCAATTGGCGAGAATGTCTAGCGCGGGAGTTGCCGGAATGATGTTCAGGCGTGTGTTTGAAGGAAGCCTGTCAATGCAGGATACTGAAATTGAGCGAAGGCCATACCACAAGAACTGCAGTTGTGCTCTTCACTCCAAGGCTGGCGTTTGCTCCAATGCTTGTCAAAGAAACATTTACTTTCCTAAGAATCAGTCATGGACAGATGGCTCCTTGTGCATGCAAGTTTCTGCAGCATCCAAATGTTCTTCTCCTCTAGTCGGTGACATGTCCATGTCCACTGGAAAAAAAGAACATGTGAATGGGGTTCAGAATTTGGCCTTGTCACATAGACGATATAGATAGAGAGCTGTCAGAGGCTAGCTTGATCATACTTATTACGGGGGTGAGTTAGGATATATATTAGAAAGGTTAACTAGGAAGCTTCCTGTCCATAATATACTAAGTGAGAAGCTATTTTTCAAATGTTAGTTTCTCATCATCTTAATCGTATTCTTGTCCATGATATATATTACTAGTACTCCAGCACTAGTACTACTCAAGATCAAGTTGATTTGTAGGATTGGTGCTTGTGGGTTCGTTCAATTTCTCCTACCTGCATACAAATGTAAATTCTTCGATCAGAGTACACATTCCTCTTGTAATTATACATTGTCACATTTCTCTTCCTGGTTCTGCGTTATTTTTGGTAGACACGGTACCTTAGACGTCATTGTGAGCTAACAACAGAATTTCCAAAGCAAGGATCATCGATGTGAAACATGGAAACTGATGTGAAAAGTACCTCTCCCTATCTCAAGAGAAGGTGTTTCTTTTGTTCATTCAATAAATTTTTCAATTTTGTTTTATGATTTCTAACTAAAGCCTAAGAAAAGAGAGAAAGAGAGATAGAAACAAGAGTTGAGAGAAAGATGTCAATGAAAAAATAGAGGTAAGAGAAGAAAAGTGATTAATAGAATAAAAAGAAATTAACTTTTAAATATTTTAATTTATTTTATAACCATTACGCATATTCTTTCACTATCTCAAAAAGTGGAGGCAGCGAAAATGTGACCATTTTTCATATTTTCTCCACATTGCGAGCGTAGGACCTATAAACTCTGCGGCGGTATTCACATTATGTATATAAGGACAATTTTTTAATTGCATAACAACCCCAATTTCAGTTTTAAAATTTCAATTTTCTTCCGCTAAAAAGCAGCTCACACCTATAAAAAATAAAATAATAAAAATATAAAAAATAAAAATTGCAACATTACGACGAGATCCAAGTTTATAACACTCCAAGAAGATGTATTGGATGCCAAATCAAATTAAGGAAAGAATGCCTAAAAATGAAGCAAAGACATGTCAGTTGGTTATGCTGAGCAATAATACTATTTTATGTACCACATAGTACACACTTTCTAGTACGTCTACAATGTTATTGTATGTTAGATTCACCTATATTAGAAAATGTGTTAACAAATGTATCAGTTTTGTGTATGTAAATGGTATACCAAATAGTCCCAAAAAAAATAAAAATGATTAGTAGGTTGTTAATTACTTATATAACGAAAAAGTGATGCTTGAATCGGACCTTTGTTAATTAGTTAGTTAATTACCTAGATTTGGCTTTGTATTAATTAAAACAAAAGAACAACCTTTATGAGTTCTAAGTAGTTAGGTTAATAACGTCTTCCGGTTCAACCTATGCTCAAAGCTTGAAAACTCCTACTATTGTATAACAAAAGAACAACCTTTCTGAGTTCTAAACAAAATGCCAAGTCGAGACCCCTTTCTCTCTCTCTCTCTCTCTCTCTCTCTCTCTCTCTCTCTCTCTCTCTCTCTCTCTCTAGCTAAGTGGAAAAACTAGGCCCCTCCTCACAAAGCTAATTAAAAATGCCGTAAAGAAACAAACGCTTGTTTTATTCTTCTTCCTACTTTGGCAAGCAAGAATTTAACAAGAATAGAGTCCGTAGGAATAATATAGCACAAATATTTTTCTTGATTTCCCCCACGCCCAAGTTATAACTTATCATATATTCATCTCCTCTTCTATATAAGTGTCTTAGTAACCATGCAAAAGTTTCAACATACTCAAACACAACATACTTGATTAGCTACACTGCTCACTGCCTTTCACGGAAATTGAGCGAAGTCCATACCATAAGAACTGCAATTGTTCTCTCCACTCCAAGACTGGTGTTTGCTCCAACGCAGTTGTGCTCTTACACAAAAATTCATACAACAGATTCGATTCAAATAGAAGAGAATGTCTAGCACAGGAGTTACCATATTGATGTTTCAGTGTGTGTTTGAAGGAAGCCTATCAATGCAAGACACTGAAATTGAGCGACGGCCAGTACCATAAGAACTGCAGTTGTGCTCTTCACTCCAAGGCCAGTATTTGCTCCAACGCTTGTCAAAGGAACATTTCCTTCCCCAAGAAACAGTCAGGTAAAGGTAGTTCCTTGCGCATTCAGGTATCAGCAACTTCCAAATTCTCTTCTCCTCTTGTTGGCGACATGTCCACAAACACAGGAAACAGAGAA